GAGGAAAGCACTAAACTGCGTCACAAGGCAAGCCCTCATATGGAGTCCTCAAGGCCTAAATAGAAGAGGAAGACGAAAGAATGCATTACACTGAGAAATGGAGACAGACAGATATGAGAAAAATGAACAAAAGTTGAAGAGAACTGGAAAGTAAGTTCCAGGACGTAGTGGTTTTGAGAATGCTGATGGACGATCTATGGTCGATTGGTAGTAACAGGTGTAAGTAATTCAGTAATAGTTCTATCACAAAACTCTGGAGTAGTAGGGATAAACGATCCCATCAGGAATGGAACCAACACCATTTAGGCCTATGGATGGTGGGACCAAAACATCAAACTATTAAGATGGAATTCAAAGATGAATTGTGTAGAGTTATTTAATAGAGTGAAGCGCTAGTTGTGTTCACAAAATAGTAAACGAGTAGACTGCAAATAAAAAATCTGACTCACAAACTTTATTAAAGAACAGCCTAATAATATTACGAGGCATTGCACAATGAAAGTATTCACTCAGAACCTACTACGTAACCGTGATTTTTTTTCACATGAGGAAATCTTTTAGTAAAAGAATATTTAACTGTGTTCAAAATTACCTCCTCCGTATTTCTTATAATAACCAATAGTGATCGTAGTTTTTATGAATCCTTACCCTATACAGAAGCCTGTGAATCAGTAGGCTTCAACATGCACAAAGGAAAAACCAAGATCCTGTAATACAACGCGGAGAAAACTAACCCAATCACAAGGATATGTGGAACTCAAAACGACTATCTGCCAGACAACATCAAAGTCAGAATTTTCAATAAGAACGCTAGGACAGTCCTACTACACGAGAAACTGGAACTTGGAGAACTACTACAAACATCAGTGAAAAAGCACAAGTATTTTTAAACAATCGTCTTCGACGATACTCAATATCCGTTAACTAGACATCATGAGCAACAATATACTATTGAGGAGAAGGCTAACTAGGTTCCATCTGAAGAGGAAATCAGGAAAAAAACAATAGAAGTAGATAGGACTTCCGTTGCGGAAATCAACAAACTTCATCACGAGGCAAGCGTTAGCTTGGAATTTTGAAGAGAAACGGAAAAAAGAAGACCAATGAATACATTGAGCGAGGATTAGAAGCAAACATTACAAGAATTAATAGTAACTGGGAAGGATTGTCTAGGACAGAGGAGGAGAATGCTGCTGGACGGAGTATGCTCCTCCACGACGTGTAACAGGTGTATGTCAGTAAGTAAGTATCTTATACAGAGGTGACAGTGGTCTATTCAAACTTCCACGTTATCATTTTTCCAAATCTCTACTTTCATAGATTTTTCTGTTTTACGTTGTGTTTTTTTAATTAAATAATTTTGTTTACCGAACGCGGTTACCTACACAGTTTTATGAAACATGTACAACTTATTACAAAGATATTTGATGATAAATAACTTAGTAATTATCAGAATGACCTTTCATCTATTTTTTTAAACAGTTACTAAGGTTACATGTCAATTATCAATTATAATGAATATTAAGCTTACATCCTATAATAATACAGATGATTGATACTATACTGTCCGAAATTTCTTTCCTTATATGATCCTTTTATGATGATAAATATAGATTAAATTATGTGAGGGCAGTCCACGAGTGAACTCGAGAAAGCTCTAAGTTCAGAAAGAGACAAAGATACTTCATCCAATCATCTTTTGGAAGAATATTCTAGAATCCCAACGTGTAGCTTCCCTATTGGGAAAATATTAATAAACCCCTGTAGGAGGATTGGAGGAATATAATGATGATTTCGCTTTACTAAAAACGATAATTACCTCACAGTTTTGTACCATAATTGATACTATTTGGTATAACATTCCTTCTCAATTGTGCTCGAGTGCTCAAATTGGACGCGGTGTATCAAGTGTCTAAGCTCTAGATAGAACAAAATATGCTATGACTCATATGCTAAAACAATAATTTAACTACAGATTAGTGATAAATACTACAAGAGGAAAACAGGAACAATATGATGTCCAATTTTTATTTAACTGAACATCATGTGTAAGAGGTGTAGTATTAAATGGTTGGGAATAGTTAGCAGGTAACCTTGGACCTATGTTTCTGGTTACATGACATTACTTGGAAAACTATTCGGATCACTATTAACCTTCTACGTGATTGAAATAGTTAGAATTGATAAGTTAATAGTTAGGAACTAATGTCATAGGCAGAACTGATTGAACAATAAGGGCTAGACAAACACAAATCTGTTGTAAATATCTTACTCATCAGATTAAACTGTGAGGCTGAGTTATACGGTCCCAAGCCTTAAAGTGTACAACAGTTCTATCAAGATGATGAAACGTGACTAGAACGATGCCTATGCTAGAGTTCTGTATCGACTACTTCCAACCAACTAACAAGTTATTCTTATTAGTAAACAGAAAAATATCTTGTTATTACATCTAAATACATTTTACTAAAAAGAATTATCGTTTCCATCATTTCTTTCAGAATTTATGCAATGTATTTCGAAAAAAAACCTGGAAAATCGCTCCAACGTATCTGTTTGAAGAGTGGAAAATGATCTGTATAAAATGTTCCCCTAGTTTCTATGACTACACAAATAAAGCATTAAGCTGTAGGCCTAAAAATCTCCGAATGTCCACGCAACTGATTATTATTCTGAGCAGTGAAAATAATTGTTAAACTCAACTTTATAATACACGAAACCTATGGCGTCACAAGTTGGAAACTATTGACTTATATAATGTTTATGAACTGAACTTATACCATAATGATTGACACAAACAAAGAATCATCCCAGTTTAATTAACTGATAAGAGTCTACTAAGGTAACATACAAGATTCATTAGTAATTATTTTAGCTGTGTTTGTAATTAGCAACAACCGATTCAAAGCAGCGTTCATCGAAGTGATGATCAGCCAGTACACCTAGATCCCTTAAAAATCATCTCTCCACCCAGACGTGAGTTCCAATCATCAACGACAAAAATGAAAAGCCTAGTAATGACTAGATAAGGTCTAAGAGTAAAATATTATCAACGATTCTGAATTAGTCATTTCGATTATCATTTCTTCCGCTTCGTATTATTTTCCATGCTAATGGGCAGTTGATTGACGGTCTATATCTTACACTTGTTGGTAGAACATGCTGGCGAGCATGTTCCGCTTCTTATTGTACATTACTTACAACGTCTATTACCCCTCGTCGAGAAGCATAGAATGTACATTGTCCAGTTGATATTCATTATTTTGATGTCTTCTTCCAATTTCTAACGGAATGTGTCCCTTAATCTTCCACATTTTTTCGTATTGTTTACGTGCATTAAATTGACATTACATTGGATTTGACGCATTCTGTATCATTTCATGACTGTACGCATAATCTATTAAAAATTACCAGATTCTTTTAATCATTATTTTATATGGCTTCACGGACGTAGATATACATGGACATATATTTACTTGCACCATAGCTTCATCTCATATTTTAACATCATTCTTATTCTGTCCTGTTTAATACATTTTTTTTTACAAATACAGAAACTAGTATTTTCTTTTACAGGATGGAATCATTATAGCACAACATCCACTTTTAATTCTGTGAACACTTCATTTTGTTAAGCTATTATTCACAATTATTATAATTATCAGAATGGGTTATGTGGAGATTTTTTCGAAATTTCACAAGTTTAAATCACGAGTCAATTGAAGCTAGACCATCATGGAAAACCTGGAACCACTGAGCGACCATTTCGTGCTCGCGTGCGGAACCGGTAGGTCCTGGGTTCGAATCCCGCGGGATCGTGGATGCGCACTGCTGAGGAGTCTCATACTAGGACGAAACGGCCGTTCAGTGCTTCCAGGTTTTACATGGTGGTCTAGCTTCAATTGACTCATGATTTCAACTTGTGAAATTATTATAATTAACAGAGTCATTAGGTCAGTAACAATTTGTATATTATGGTATCAATATCATGCTTCTATGAGCATGTAGGCTTGATCACATGTTACAGTCTACTCATACATATTCATCTTGTTAACTTGAATAGTTAGTTACTAATATAGATCAATGACTCATTCGCTCTCTTATTAATTCATACGCTTACATTTGTATTTGTGTTAGTATTCACTTTGTGATCTACACCGTATATTGACACATTGTAGTTCATGCTTCGTATTTTCTGAACGATATTAATATTGGTTGTAAAGATGAGGGATATATAAAGGATTAGGAATTATTCTGAAGATATTCCATTACTATGGAATACAAAAACAAAATAGTCAAATGATTCAAAAATAAATTTTATCATTAGAGAACAGAAACAAAACAAACAAAAAATGATGAAGAAGAATAACAACAAAATATGACGAGGAAACAGGAAGAGGGAAGAAAAACAAAAGAATAAACAGCTTATGTAATGATTCCTGCTAACAAGTGAGTGAGTCAGAGAGAGAGAGAGACAGAAATAAGTGATAACTATAGTAAGTGAAAATGGAAGAAATGTTGATCACACTAAAGAATATATATACCAGTACAAATATTAATGAATGTAAACAGATAGATAACATATATATATCAATAAGAAAAACCAACTTAAAGTACACAATTGATTGCTAAACACAACAACATGTGTATTTCTACTTACACTACAACTCAATATAAAAAGCGAGAAATCAGCAACCCCCCACCCACCCATCATCCAACACATATGAGGAGGGGGGATAATTAGTAACACTGAGCAATTAGACAAAATATCCAAATGATTTTTTTTTTTTGAAGAAGAAGAAGAAGAAGAAAAACAAAAGAAAGAAATTACATAACAACAATTAAAATGTTTGCGAAAAAAATAAATAAATAAATTCAGCAGTTCATCCATAGAAATTATCTGATTGTAAATATTCAATGAAATAAGAAACAATCATATCTAGTTATAAAACAGAAAGCAGCAGTGAAAGGTAATTCGTTTATATATATATATATATATATATATATATATATATATATATATTACATATGATATATTGAGTTGAATGATGATTTAAAACAATGAGATCAATAATGTAAAGCACCAAATAACTAATCATTTCTTATATATAGATATATATTTGAAATAAATTCACCAAATTTTCCCATCCTATCGGATTACTTTTTTTCCTTTTCTCTTTTTCGATATATTTCTTCATCGGTAAACAATAATGACGGATGGAGATAGATAGATAGATAGATGGATTAAGAGAAAACAATCATTTTTTTGGAGGTAAAACATTCTTATCATCACTTAGTGACAAAAAATCATACTAATTAATAATCATGATAATGAAATCAAATGGTTAATTATAAGAATGTAGGCGTGGAGAATGCTGGTGAGCGGCCTATACTCCTTCACCAGGAGTAACAGGCGTAGGTAAGTAAGTAAGGCGTCGTCACCAATCAATCAATCATCAAGATGATTTGAATTAAAAATAATTTCCATTGAATGATTAAATCAACAGTGAATTCATTGTTATTAGATATTTTTTTTAAAAAACCCGCAGGATTTCAATTGTTCAATGATCAATAAAAATAATAAATAATTAATTAAATAATAAAAAAACGGAAAAATCATTCGCTTTAATTATCATATTCATTCTACTAATCATCATATTGAATCGGACTAGAAATACAATAAAAAGTGTATGTGTATATTGACTAAATGGAATAGACATTAACAATGATCAGGTAATGTAGGTAGTAAGTTTTGATTAACATATTTATATTTATATAATAAGCGATTATGTTTGTTTATTTGTTTGAGCGTGTATGCGTATGTGTATGTGTATGTAGGTGTGTGTGTGTGTACATGTACACTTTTTTTTTCTTTTCAATTTTCTCTATTTTAATTTTCTTTTATTTTCTTTATTCCTTAAGCGCGTTTACATTGATAAGAATGATAGAACCAATTGTGAGAGAGAAAAAAAATTTGGTGAAGTTCAATAACTAGAAAAATGAAAAAAATAAATAAATAAAAGAAGTTCAATCAATTGGATAAAGTTTATGATTTTAATGAAATTCAATAATCCCCAAAGTTCCATACTAAGAATAATGGATAACATTATATAATACATGTGAACTAACAAAATAATATAATTTATCAATATTAATCCAAATACTCCCGACCGTTGTTGCTACCTTGACCTCGTGGTCGAGCTTGTCAATCGTGATGAAGCAACCGAGCTATACTGGCTGGAACAATCGTTCATCAAGGTAATACCATGTCAAAAAGGTCGGTTGAAGAACGGCCAGACTAGCAGCAACAAACCTAAGGTTCGAAGGCGAAGTCGTACTGCCGACTGTACAAAGGTGTGACAGTAGTAAGGTGTTTTCTTCAGACAACCAGCATGATACCGACGCCGCCTTCCCACAAGGAGGGGTGGGGTTAGAAAATATCGACCCTGAAAATGCACACCTCGCCTTATCTCACGGATATCCGTCTCTGGCGGTAAGATCCCAACAAGTACGGAGCTAACACAAAAATTTCCCATAAAAAGGTCGTGTTTGACCGACCTCAAGTAGTTGTCCCTTGGGCACTGCGATCACGCTCTCAGATCATTAAGACCACCTCTAATCCAATTTCCTTTTCAGGTACCTCCAGAACAACCCTTCCACGGTGTGGGCAACCGGGAAGTGATAACTGCCCTCATACCTCTAACAGCACTCAAGACCACTGACTGACTGACTGAATCCAAATACTACTACTACTGTGGTGTGTGCTACTTATATCGACATAAGTAGTATATGATGTTAGTCAGGAACAGAATGTCTGGTAGCGAAGAGACAAGAGGGTCGAACAGTAAAGAATGGTAACAGAATGCAATTTGTATGAAAATGTAAGAACATTGAAGTCTGAGTCATTTTAAGACAATTGATGGACATTTTGCAAATTAAGGATTTACTATATGATTGTTAGATTTCATTAACAGGTTCTCGAAGTCTTTGGCCTAGAGGTCTAATCTACAAGGCTGTGGAGTAACGTTAGGAGATGCAGTCCCATGGTAACCGGTGACCAACAATAGGTTCGTATGTCATTTTTTCCCTCAGGATACTGGAGCCCATGTGCACCACTGGTTTGGAAACAGAGTTTTCTAACTCCCTCGTTGGTGAACCAATTATCAAACGAATGTAAAACAAACCTCTTGAAAAAAACACTATAATGAAACATATATGAATATACATACTCATATGTAGGTTAGACAGATAGATGAATGAATGAAAATTTGGAATAAGTACCTAATATCTACACTTAATAACCTTAAGACTTAACAGACGACAGACACATTAGTTCAGTGTAAACCAAACGTAGTTTCAGAAAAATAAACTTTTGATAATTTAATCTTTGTTTTAAGCGTTCTTACAACAACTGAGATTACTTAACAGACCTCATTCAATTACGAACAAGGAAAATGAAATTTCCCACTTTACTACCCCTATCTACTACTAAAAGAAACGACATCACCCACCCGACGACGTTGACAGTTGTTAGGGATACGTAAAATATTTGCCAACAGCTTCAACTTGTGAAGATTCACTACTTAAGCAATCGATTTGCCATCCTTACTCATTACTTTGTGATTAAAGTCGGTGGTCACAAAATATACAAACGATGCTCTGATTACAGATCTTTAATTGAGTACTAGTAACATAAAATATTCTATAGAAAATATAAAGAATGGATAGATCTGTACAGATATGATCGATTATAATCAATATTGCTCACAATTTTCAACCGTTGGTCGTGATTAGGGCTTTGATCATAAACAGATTGTCAACACTAATAAAATTACGTAACAGGTTAACAGCCAATGATTTCATGGATCGAGGTCAATTTAGCTACTTGACTCCGAGATTTCTTTAATGATACCTACTTTAGTTTCAATACCGTTAACATACTTGACCCTTCTAACCCTTTGGAGGATTAGTTATACACCAAAGATTAGAGGTAATATAAATTCCAGAAAATGATTACAAATCCCTCTAAAATTACTACAACAAAATACAACATTAAAAACAACTTACATCTAGAACAATCATTATTAACATCAGATTGTAATTGAAGTATTTTTTACCACCTCTTGAGAGAAAAAATTCACCATATACCTTTAATTTCATCGCACAAACGAATAATCACTAACCTTTAATCGGAATCAAGTGAATCATCCTGTTCTTCATCAGATTCACAAATAGTATTATTATTACTTTTACAATAAAGTGAACTCTCCAAAGTAGAGTTAAGACCATTTATGTCCGTTGATAATGGAGTTATTTCTTTCAAAAGAAATAATCAAAGAAAATCAATTAACATGAGAGTTTTGATAATTGAACAATAATGTTACCTTCAATTCTTTAGGAAAATAAAAGATCTATAGTCTAAAGTCGGATTATAGGAAAAACTAATTTGTAAGTTACAAAGTAGCAAGTTATGCAATGAAAAAAAAGGTATACTGAAGAACAATTCCGGAAACTTGATATCGATCGTACCTATACGTATAAACACTATGAATAAATGGTTCTAAGGTATACAATTCAGTAAACAAACTTGAAAACATTCATGATCATACTGTAAACAAGAATTAAGTTAGAGTGAAAGTGTATGTGAATCATGCTAAAATGAATTGCTTCTTCATATCTGTGACGACGGACAACCGGTGAACTCGAGGAAGCTGTAAGAGGCTCAGAAGGAGCCGAAGACGTTCCATCCAATCACCTTTCGGAAGAATGTTCTAGAATTCCAACGTGTAGCTTCCCGATTGGATAATGCTAACAACCCCCTGTACGCGGATTGGAAGACTGTAATGATGATTTCGTTCTCACTAAAAACTATAAATACCTGACAATTTTGTACTATGATTGACACTGTTTGGAATAATATTCCTTTCATTAGTCTTCTGTCTTCTTATTGCGACTTGGAAGGGTTTTGGTGTTCTAGTACTCAGTTATACGCGGTAGTATCAAGAAAAACCAACTTTTCAAGATATAACAATATCTTTCATAGAATTTGCTATGAATTATATTTCTGAATGAAAATTCATTGAGGATGCTGGAAAGGTCTAAATGTTATTTAGAAACCATGAAGATATAAACATATATGCAATTCGACAGTTTTACAAAATAAAATCTGTTATTAATGAAATCCATAAACAAACCCGCTAAAACAGTCTTTTAAATAGCATACCCATCCCATATATTTTATCAAGAGTTTCATCTTCATAATGATATTGTACACAAAGATAATGAACGTTTCTCAACTACAATATACGATTTGTAAAATAGTAAACCTCTTCATTCAAGCAGAAAGTTCAAACGAATTGGAAACTTTTTAAAGTTAAACTTATGTAATACTGATATTATTTATAAGTAAGACAAAATAAATATATGTATATACATGACAATCTATGTAAGTATGAATTACCATTTTTAGTACGTCGACGAATTCCACACGGTAAAGCATCTAAATCGGAAAAACTATCTTTTGGTGAATCACCATGAGATACAGTTGATTCATGAGGCATAAGCATAGCTGGTGCACGAAACATATAACATAAAGGATAATAGATTAGATTAATACAAGAGAAAGAATATAAATCAGCATAGCGTAATACTTGAGATGAGAAGAATGTATGACGAGAACCTGAAATATAATAAAAACCAAACGTGTTAACAATAATCATATAACAGAGGAAAAAGGAGACTTATAAATAATCAGTAATTATAGTGTACATTGTGTTTTCATATTTCAATGATCTAAACGTTAATTTTCATTATAAAGCAAAACACTCAACTCACTAATAGAGATACTTAACATGGCAATTGTCTAACGTATTTATCAACAGGACACTTAATGTCGAATTACCTAGACTAATGGCCATAATCCTTTATAATCCGTGAAATTCTATCACTACTAACGAACTGTACAAATACGACATTGGTCGTTAATTGCGGATCAATCAATCAGAAGGAAGCATAATAATGCTGATCTAAAATCCTTTACAATTATATATGCTAAACTCTCAAATAAATAATGATCATGCTTAATATATTTTCAGGCAAGATTTTTGAGCCGACTAGTTGCAAGTTTTGGGATCAAGAAGTAAGCAATGCTTGGGGTTAGAAATAGGGTTCTTGGTAAAGGTGGGAAATCGATTGATGAGCAAGTGAATTTTCGTCAACTGAGGTGGTTGGGAAATGTGTTATGTATGTCCAACTATTGTCTATCTTGACGAGTGATGCTTTCTGGTGCAGGAATAAGATGGGAAAAAGCTAGAGGCAGCCAAACCGATACATGGCATCAGTAGATGAAATCATTGACAATTGAATTGAGCCATGATAATAGGTGTAGACTACTTGATTGTGGTCTGCGCGAGCATCAAAACCAACGCTTAGACTTTAAATGACATGGCTTAAAATCGTTTGACGTGGCGCAGGTGCATCTGTTCTTTATCTTTCCCCGAATTCTGAGATTCTGAATTGCTCATAACTTCTTATACGTATAAAGAACAAGTTAGTGCGTATATTTTGCTTGTGGTCGACCAATAAAAGCTTCTTGCTCACTCTTGATTTTCTTAGTAATGTATGTGGTTGGGTTAGGTTAATAGTGGATTATAATATTAGATTCAAACAACCGCCCAAAACAAATGTGTATATATGTCATGGAGACTGAAATAAATGTAACATATTTACCAACGAATTATAATTGAGGTTTAAATCAAGATTATAATACAATCCGTCGATAATCTATATGAAATTGAATTGGAAAAAGAACAACTAAGAATTTAATATACATTAAATTCATTCTTACTATCAATTCAATTCAGCTACATTCAAGCTATGAATAGTAAATTGTTAGAAAAAAAGTTTACAAATGACAATAAATTAATCCAGGAACAGAAAAGCACAAAGTTTACAGGAATGATTTATACGAATACAGGTTAAAGTCAGACACTGAATACACCAAATCGTAAGAAAATTAAATAATAATGTAATATGAACTATCTTTACTGTTTGATATATAGTGTAAATTTGCTTTTGTATGTGTACGTGTGTGTATGTGTGTGTGTAAGTATTATAAACAAGTAAACATATAGGTAGTAATGATATTCTGTTGGAAATTTGTAGTTGCCTAATTTCACCATCATCATTATCATCATTACTTAAGTCAGAGGTAATTATTGAAAGACTATGTTTTTCATAAAATTATTGTTATAGTGTTTTGACAAACATCACCTAATGTATATGATGGTTATAGTACTAACAAGAATACTGGATGTTTAAATAACTAATACGATAAACATTTTTGAGAAGAGAAAATAACTGATTTCAAAACTAACCGTTTCGGAAAATACTTCCCAATGCACCATAAGATTCTTCCATTCGTTGAGCCACAGCCTTGATATATATATATATATTCATTAAAACGGGATGAACAAAAGAGAAACATTTTTAAAAAAAGCATATACAACTATATATGTAATACATAGATTACCAATAAATATTGACTAATTGACAAATAATTCCCATTTAAACATCAAACATTAACAACACAAAGTTCAGAGAAAGGATCACTTCTCAACGAATTTATTATCAAGCTGTACAATCGTATACTCTCAGCCTTTCTCTTTCTCCTGGTGACCGACTGGATTATGAAGACGTCAAAATCTGAAAGAAAGCACGGGATACAGTGGACAGATAGGATGCAGCTGGACGATCTAGACTTCGCAGATGATCTGGTTCCTCTATCGCACACGCAACAACAAATGCAGGAAAAGACGACCAGTGTAGCGGCAGTCTCAGCAATAGTAGGTCTGAACATACACAAAGAGAAAAGCAAGATTTTCCGATACAACACAACATGCACCAATCCAATCACAATTGACGGAGAAGAATCGGAAGATGTAAAAACCTTTACATGTTTGGGCAACATCATTGATGAACATGGTGGATCTGATGCAGATGTGGAGGCACGGATAGGCAAAGCAAGAACAGCATATTCACAACTTAGAAACATCTGGAACTCAAAACAACTGTCAACCAACAGCAAGATCAGGATTCTCAATACAAATGTCAACACAGTTCTACTGTATGTGGCAGAAACCTGGAGAACTACGAAAGCCATCAGCCACAAGATACAGATGTTTATTAACAGTTGTCTACGCAAAATACTTCGGATCCGTTGGCCGAACACTATTAGCAACGACGTACTGTGGCAGATTCCAGCGGAGTAAGAAATCAGGGAGAAGTGCTGCAAGTGGATAGGACACACATTGAGAAAAGCATCCAACTGTGTCACAAGACAAGCCCTCACATGGAATTCTCAAGGCCAAAGGAAAAGAGGAAGACCAAAGAACACAATACGCTGGGAAATGGAGATAGACATGAGAAAAATGAACAACAATTGCATGGAATTAGAAAAAAAGGCCCAGGACAGAGTGGGTTGGAGAATGCTGGTCGGCAGCCTATACTCCATTCGGAGTAACAGGCGTAAGTAAGTAAGTAAGTGTACAATCGTATATACATACCTCGGCCCTAATTACTATTCTTATTAATGGATTCCCCCTTGTCTCATATTCTCACTATTTTATTCATAAGTACTCATCATATCACTTTATTTATTTTCATACATTTATGACCTTTAATTATTGTAATAAAAACATTTAAGTCATCTTACTACATCCATGTGATAATTTGTCACTAACTTATTAAATCTATTACTATTATTCATATTATGTAATCTGGTATTACAATCTTTCTATTAAATCATCTTGATTATTCGTATTCACATTTCTTCACGGAACTAGTACTTTAACAAACAAAAAATTTCATATATATATATATATATATATATATATATATATACGATTGTACAGCTTGATAATAAATTCGTTGAAAAGAGATCCCTTCGCTGATTGATTATTTGAATAAAGTATATAGAAATATTTCACAATATATTAGCCAATCTCTTAATTGGAACAATAATGATCATGAAATGAATAACATGATACTGGTAAATCGAATTCATAGTGGTACAAATACATTTCTAAACTTTGATGATTTAATTTAATTTGCTTTTTTTGGGGGGGGGATAGGCATACAGCTGATAAATTGTAAATACAATGAAATTGACAGGAAGAATTATTTATATTTCATCTAATACTTAACCAACTTATGAACATATATGGTTATTGATATTTCATAATAATAATAACAATAATGATATCAATAACAATAATAATGGTAGATCTTGATCGTATACCATTCATCAATTAGGCATGATAATCGTTGAGGAAATAAAAAATTGTAACAACTAACCGAATCAATTTTAATATCATCATTATTTTTTCTATTTCATACGATCTAACTCCGCATGGAGGATTATTTCTTTTAAATAATCACATGTGCTATTTACAGCATGAAAATAAATCCAAATCGAATTCCGCTTCAATTATTCAATAGGTAACTAATAGGTGATAACATAATAAAAATAAAACCTGCGATGGCTATCTCTAACTCACACACCAGACATAGCTAAACTCCAATAGATCATAACAACCCGACCGTTGTTGCTACCTTGACGTGGTGGTTGGGCTTACCTGTCGTGATAAACTAATCGAGCGATACTGGCTGAAACAATCGTTCATCAAGGTCCTACCATGTCAGAAAGGTCGGTTGAAGAACGGCAAGACTAAAAGCAACAAACCTAAGGTTCGAAGGCGAAGTCGTACTGCCGACTGTACAGAGGTGTGACAGTAGTAAGGTGTTTTCTTCAGACAACCAGCATGACAACGATGCTGCTTTCCCACAAGGAGGGGTGGGGTTAGAAAAAGTCGACCCTAAAAATGCACACCTCGCCTTATCCTACGGATATCCGTCTCCGGTGGTAAGATCTCAACAAGTACGGAGCTAACACAAAAATTACTCATAAAAAGGTCGTGTGTGACCGACCTCAAGCAGTTGTCCCTTGGGCACTGCGGTCACGCTCTCAGATCATTAAGACCACCTCTAATCCAATTTCCTTTTCAGGTACCTCCAGAACAATCCTTCCACGATGTGGGCAACCGGGAAGTGTCAGCCGCCTTCATACCTCTAACAGCACTCAAGACCACTGTATTCTGAGTTTATGACAATTGGTTCTCACTTTCTTTTGAAGCCAATCTCTAGTGAACATATGAAAATCATCAGTATGGGGGTTGTGGAAATTGTTTAATGATATTATTAAGATCAAAAACCGAATGAAGTTACAAAAAATATTGAAATCCTGGAAGTATTGAATAGTTGTTTAATCCGAGCATAGAACTTTACAAACACAGCCAACCACAAAAAACAATTGTGAAATGTTCACTTTTACATGAAATAAATGATGAAAAGATTGTCCCTATTGAAAATGGAAGCTTTACAATCTAAGAACTGATTGATATACCATTAAAATATATATTTACCAAACATTCACTTACCCGAATTTTTCTCTGTAAATCTCCAACATCCGGTCTTATATTCGATGAGATATTCAAATCACTAATAAAATATTTAACAAAGTTGAATGAAAGTTATGCAATGAGAAAGAAAACATGTATTATTATTATTATTATTATTATTATTATTATTATTATTATCGACATAAGGCAACAATAACAACAAAACAAGAACTTTGATCCATTTGTTTATTTGTGAAATAACATTGGAAAATATTCTAGGTCATCATTGTTAATTGATACTACTTTGTAAAGGATGAGATTAGAGTATATGTAGCGAGGTGGAGTGAAATAACGAAGTGAAGCAACCTTCATTTTCCCCAATACATAAAACTTATATATACATATTAACATAATTTGTTGTTTGATAAATAAACAAAAGACAAGATCGATAGATTTTTTCGTAAAAGAACCAAACAATAGTTCACCAAGTCACATATGGTAATAATATACACAGAAATCACAACAACTTGGATCAAGAAAAAATTTCAAAGTTAACATTCTATATTGAGATGTAAAATGATGAGATCGATTCTGATGCTAAAAGTTTGTGAAACTTTTCTACTATGAATTAAGGATGTGTCTTGAAATTCCCCGCTTCCAATCAATGCTTTCTTTAAATAATTGTTGGTTTCTAATGGCTACACTATGTAATACTTAAGTTTAACAAAATGTGTTCAAACATAGCGATGATAAGTGACTTAGTGTCACTATCTCAAGAAATCTTCATCAGTGACTCAGTCAATAAGAAACAATGTAGAACTTCGTACGTAATTACATTAGTTCGAGTTGCCATACCACATTGCATTAGCACAGAAATACAATTTTCGATTCAAATTACATAGTGGTCGAGATAGTAAAAGTATAAGCAGTAATCGGAAACATTATGGTTTGAAGATGTTATTCAAAGAGTATAATACAGTGAAATGAATTTGGAAAGAGAAAAAAATAAAGACATGAGGAATTTAGGAGATTAGAATTTTGGAGAACACAAAGAGTGGATGCACCTGTGCCATTGCAAACGATTTTGAGTCATGTGATTCAAGGTCCTTAACCATCGGTTGCTCTTGTCTCGCGGATCCCAACCAGATAGTCTACACCTACCGACATGGCTCAGTCTACTTGTCAATGACTTCATGGATTTGTGCCATGTTTTGGTCTAGCCAGCCCTAGCTTTCTTCCAACCTACTCCTACACCATAAAACATCGCACGTCAGGCAGTCGGTGGTTGGGCATACGTAACACGTGTCCCAGCCATCTCAACTGATGAAGTTTCACTACTTAATCAATTGATATTCCATCTTTACCTAGTACCCGTTTCCTAACAACTGCATCCTAGTCATCAGTGACTAGGATATATTTTACGAATGCCCCCCCAAGTGGATTCCATAGGATATACTATTTGCCTGAACGGTAAAACCGGGTGGAAGATGTGGAAAAATAATCAATTTATAAAATGGCATTGTGATGTAAAAGATAGTAACATAGAGCTATCATCTATTTCCTGATCGAAATCCACAAATTACGGCAGTCAACGGATTTGACACGTTATCACATATGATTCACGATGGAAGCTATTAACTGCCTTGACATAGATTCCCATTACATTACATTTTTTGATACGGTACTATGGTTTCATATTGTGTGGTTCATTCATTTCTAATCCTTTTTTATTGTACTAAAAAATGTTTAACAGTTTAACAATAAGCACAATGGAAATTTATCACATTTCAACGCAATTCAATATTGATAAGGAAGAAATCATATATGCATAAACGAGTGCATAGTTGTTTCTTGATTCGGGTACCCAATAAAATTGTTTCTCACTTTCAGTCTTTTAACTTAAGCACGTCAGATTAGGGTATAAGAAGTATGTGTATCAGTATCAGCTCTCGGACACCACACGTCATAACAGTAATATACAACGATAACTTCATATCAGAATTAGTGGAATTTGAAAAGTATGACTAGTTTGAAATACGTACCGGAATGTATCACGTACTCACCGAGAAAAAACGCATAGATTCGATCCTGTGTGAAGTCTATGTTGTACATAATGCTGAAAATATTTTTTTAAACTAGTACAGGTAAGCAATACAAAACTGTTTTTCTTGCTTTTTACAAATAAAGTTCAAAGAGAGCAAGTACAAAGATTGGTGCGGTATAATAAATGAATTCATTTTATTATTTCGTTAGGTTCTCATCAGCTGCTTACAGTCTAAAATATTTGAAAATCTACGTTATTACAGATGAGATGACATACTTATCTATACGAGGGTGATTAAAGATGAATAAATGTATCATGGTATAGCGAAGATTTCAATCAAGTTAATAAGGTCATAAGAATTTTGTTTTGGATAAATAAAGTTTGTTTTTTTTTGGGGGGGGGGGAGTTCCAGAACATTAACATAGTGATTAGAACTCATGGAGTTAACAAAAATTAGATGATTGTGTTACCACTAACTGTGCATACAAATTTACATGTATCTCCCAAAGCAATTTCATTGGTAGAACAGAAAGGAGAACCTACGTCTTATTTAAAGAACATATTTCGACAAGTTTAAGATCATATGGATTAAAAGCATTCAAGACATCTCCTTGACACAGATCATGAAGTCGATACACTGAAGTCCTTCAAGGTGATTAACAAACAAACTCCAACCTTTTGAAATTCGCTGAAGCGATAGCAATCAAACGTCTAAAACCAGATCTATGTATACAAAAATACACAATAATAAATCTTTTTTTACCCTGGTAACAATAAATCCGCTTTATTTATTTATTACGGTATTCATTACTCCAACTCTTTCTGAAGTTTTAAATTACATCATTCATAACTGACTGATTTCAATTTATACCCTTCTTCATTATCATTAATCTATTGTCAGTTACTTCATTACATTTTTTTAACTCCATGAGTTCTAATCACTATGTTAATGTTCTGGAACTCTCACCCCCAAAAAAAGAAAACTATTTATCCAAAACAAAATTCGTATGACCTTATTAACTTGATTGAAATCTTCACTATACCATGATACATTTATTCATCTTGAATCACCCTCGTATAGATAAGTATGTCATCTCATCTGTAATAACGTAGATTTTCAAATATTTTAGACTGTAAGCAACTGATGAGAACCTAACGAAATAATAAAATGAATTCATTCATTATTCTGCACCAATCTTTGTTCTTGCTCTCTTTCGAAAAATTTCATCAGGAAGAAGAAAAAATAATCACAAATCGATGAACTAACCGATAGATTGTTTCTAAATTATTATCAATTTTTTGTAATTCATCAAATAATGATTTCTTTTTTTTCCATACATAAATTTCATTTGCTAATTCTGGTATAATTAAATATGTTCTCCAACCGACAGTTTTTTTCGATTTTAATATATCACCATAAACATGATCACCAACATATAAAACATCTTTACCACGAGCACCAATTAGATTAGAAAACACTTCACATGATCCTGAAACAATATTATAATAATGATAACATTTTATAATATTGAATAGTAAATGTGTACTTTTGAAAAAAAGGGCCCCTAGTGAAATATATTTCTGATACAGATGTAAAAACGCGGATAAGCAAAGAAAGAACAGCATATTTACAACTGAAAACATCTTGAAATCAAAACAGTTGTCAACCAACACAAAGGTCAGGATTTTCAATACAAATGTCAACACAGTTCTACTGTATGGAGCGGAAACATGCAAAACTACGAAAGCCATCATCCACAACATACAGGTGTTTATTAACAACTGACTACACAAAATACTTCGGATCCGTTGGCCGGACACAAGTAGCAACAACCTACTGTGGGAGAGAACAAACCAGATCCCAGCGGAGGAACAAATCAGGAACAAGCGCTGCAAGTGGATAGAACACATATTTAGGAAAGCACCCAACTGTGTCACAAGACAAGTCCTCACATGGAATCCTCAAGACCAAAGGAAAAGAGGAAGACCAAAGAACACATTACGCCGGGAAATGGAAATAGACATGAGAAAAATGAACAACAATTAGATAGAATTAGAAAAGAAGGCCGAGGACAGAGTGGGTTAGAGAATGCTAATCAGCGGCCTATACTACATTGAGAGTAACAGGCGAAAGTAAGTAAGTAAGTAAGTAGTGAAATAGATTGTATTTTTTTGCTTGTAACACGTTAAATAAGAAAATGAAACAGATTCTAATTTAACATATGTAATTGCTATAAAGAGAGTTATGATAAAAATTCGAAAGAACCTCTCTTATCATATAATTTTTATGATAGTAGAATGAGAAAATGAATAAATATTTTATTTGAGAGTTTGTACAGATTTTTTAATTGTATAGTTTGTATTATATATTGACCTCAGTTAAACAATCACTGAAAATCAGAAAACACTAGATAATGGTTCTACACCAGAATGCGACGAGTTTTCAGCAATGAGCAAGAACAACTCCCCTACTAGGCCTAGAACTCAGGACTGGTATCCGATAGTTTATGTTTAGATTCAATGAATTCGTTATATTGCGCAACCATTTCTAAATGTCCTATATGGTAGGCAACTATATGATACTCGAGATGATCGAACGTTACTGGTCATCACCTCTGCTGAAATCTCTGGCTTATTATGAATTTCAACAGTTGAATTCACGAGTCAATCTAAGCTAGACTAATAATGAAAACCTGGAAGCACCAGACGGCAGTTTCGTCACAATATGGGACACCTCATTAGTGCACATTCACGATCCTGCACGCGGAACTCGGACCCAAGACCTTTGGTCTCACGCGCGAAAACTTAACCTTTATACCACTGAGTAGTGTTAAGGAGGCCCATATTAGGACAAAACGGCCGTCCAGCGCATCCAGGTTTTTAGTAGTGTTGTAGCTTACATCAACTTGTAAATTCAACTGAAAATATTACAATCTCCACAAATCCTCATGCTATTATAAATTTAAACAAAAGTAGTACGGAAAATAATAAATTTCAAATGGTCATCCATATTTATGCATTCTCACGTTAATTTAAATGTAGAAAATTTTAAGAAAAGTAACGTTGATCACTGAGTACATCGTTTCATTATTAAATAAATTAGATTATGTCATCATCAACAAGGTCAACATCCCATTTGAGATTACTATCAAAATAAATGTAACTTCGGTCCTAATTATTGTGAATCAAACCTATCGTAAAAAGATAAATATATTATCATCACAGACCAAATAAACATAGATAGATGGGGTATCTTTCAGGAAATCAGGATTTAAAAGGAAGAACATCTTAAGTATTTACTAAAGAAATACTAACAGTTTTCTAAGATACATTAAGTATAGTAAATATTAGTTATACTACAACTTTGGCAGACAATTTGAATTTAAATGTCCTGCGGAGGAGGAGGACGGAAGGAAGTATTCTACTTCTCATCAGGTGGTTGAATGTTAATTCTTTCGAATAATTAATTAGATACATAAATGTACAGCAGAATTTAATTATGTGTAAACTGTTCAATACAAACAACTAATAGGATGTAAATTATACTATATTAATGTAAGTTTTTATTCGTTTCTAATTATTATTACTATTATTATTATTAATGGCTTTATTCAATATTATATTTTGGTACAATATAGAATTCTCAGCACAGAGTATTTCAACAAGTTACTTACGCAACAAAAAGAAACACAGTAACAAATACCAAAAAAAATAAAAAACACCGAAAAAACTGTACAACTTTTCAAATTAGAGACGGCTAAGAATGCAGGCTATTGACTAGGTTAACTCGAACAACCTGTTCATCACAGAGTATATTTGCTAGGTAAGGTATTATAGAACTTTTATACTTTTGCTTGCGTGCATGGATTTTAATGTAATTACGTCTCGTTCTACCAGAAGATATACAAGGAGAAAGATAAGAGTGAAGGAGATGGCTAGTATCTGATAAGATAACACCTGCTAAGAGTTTTCAAGACTTTAGATGTCTATCCACAACCATATTAATTATGACCTCGAAAGATTCACCACACATCTTGCTAACTGCCTTCAGCACTCTCCTCAATACAGCAAAGTCAAAAGCCCGGGAAAGAATAGCTAACAAGAATTCATTATGAGTATGTTTTCTTCTTTTAATAAAGTTATGTAAATAGAAAGTAATTGAGAAAATTACTGTACATATACTTTGTTTGTAAGTAGTATCAACAATGAATAAACATTATGAATCATGAGGTATAAACACTTCCGAGCAATTTATAGAACAAATAGGTATATTCAGTCGAAGCAGTTATGTATATCAATGTAAAAAGGAATAATTATCACATTGAGAAATTCTAGAAATGAATTTTATTACAATGAACAGCTTAACTCGGTTACAATATCCACTTGATAACTGTTTATGACATTTTTTCACACACCCTGAGAATAATTATCCACGAATCTTTCCATAATTGGATCTTCTTTTTTTCTTAAACAAAAAGATACATTTTACAGTATTCAAATAGATTATGGTTCAATAGAGGTTAAACAAATAAGTGATATAGACTAATAATACAATCATTTTATAACTATAGTGTATTCTAAAATGAATTCATACTCCTTGACTCAAAATAACAGTTAACAATTTTGTTGTCCAATAGATCAAACGGAATTAGTTATTCCTTAATTTTAGCCTTGGGAAAGAATAAAACTTTCAATTTCGGTCCACAACACATGATATGTATGGATTAAACTAATATAGTTTCAAATTACCTCCGGAATATATTTGACCAGTTTCTAAAGGACCCATATGATGACCAATACTGGGCTGCCCAGTATCCTTTATAAAATAAATTGAATGAAAGAAATAATGTTACGCAAATAAAAAATGACTAATATATCATAAAATAATTTAAACAGTACTGGTCATAACAGCTTTCGATAACAAATGAAAAGGTAACTTTGTATCTAGTAGAGTTTTTTAGTCATGTACATAGCTTTAATCAATTACCATTTTTATTTACATAACATTTAGTTAATAATTCACTCGGTATTATTTGGCTTGTATCTTCCCAATTGATCAGTCTGTTATCGGCATATGTGCATACTGTGTATATGCCTCGATATTGCCTTAATTCACAAGCTTTTTGTAAGCAATGATGGATAGTGGTTAGCAGTGAATTGAAATGCACCCCATTATATAAGCAAGTGGCTATCAGGACCCAGTAGCTAAGTGGATAACGCGATGGCGTTTGAAGCGAATAGTACTGGGTTCGAGTCCCAGAGTGAAAATCAACTCTGAGATGCAGGCACATCCAGCTGACGAGTCCCAAATAGGATGGAACGCGCATCCTGGATTCCACTGCTAATCACTATCCATCATTGCTTACAAAATTTAATTAATAAACATGAATTCATGTATTCGGTTTTGGAGCTATATTACAATTCTATAAGTGGTTATATTATTATAGTTGAAGCTAGTTGTGAACCAGCAACTAAATGGTTAAAATCCATATGCTTTAATCAATTAAGTACCGATTTATTGGTGTTAAATTGAAATATATAGAAAACAGAAATTTGTTTTCATTTATGAAATTGATTTAATTACATCAGTAATAATAAATGTATTATAGATGATATTCTTATTCGCCTTTCATTTAAACGATTCATTGATATCTGTACTATACATCTAAACTTGACATTGAATCTTTGTATAAGATAATTAATATGTCAGTGAAATAAGTTAATTAGTTAATTATCAAACAAAATTATTAATCATTATAAGCAAATATAGATGGTGCCTAGTGGTGGAATCCAGGATGCACGTTTCTTCCCTATTTGGAACTTGTCAACTAGATATTATTCTTTGTTTAATAATACTTCTGACTCTTAAGGCAATATCGAAGCTATCCGAACAGGATGTAAATATGTCAATAAAAAAAAACTGATCAAATACAATCCTAAACATCAATGAGATTTAAAACAAACATATTAATTAATTTAATAAACTCGATAAACTAGAAAATCCGGACAAAACTTATGATATAACAGGAGGACAAATAATTGAAATACCATTTATATTATGAATACAAAATTCTAATGAATACATGAATTGATTTTATTACAAAATAATCATCATCATGTACATTTATAATGACTAATATGTGTTATATAAAACTATTGTGCAAATAATTCCATTATGTATCATATGAAATGACCGACATTAAATGTGTACATAAGTGACTGATATTTTTATAAGTTTACATTACTAATACAATATTTATACCAATCAGTTCCTTTGTTATGCATCTTGTATCAGACTCTACAGTCAGTCAATTACAACGACCGTTGTTGCTACCTTGACATGGTGGTCGGGCTTACCTGTTGTGATAAACCAATCGAGCTATACTGGCTGGAACAATCGTTCCTCAAGGTCCTACTATGTCAGACAGGTTAGTTGAAGAGCGGTAAGATAAAAAGCAACAAACCCAAGGTTCGAAGGCGAAGTCGTACTGCCGACTGTACAAATGTGTGACAGCAGTAAGGTGTTTCCTTCAGACAACCAGCATGATACCGATGCTGCTTTCCCACAAGGAGGGGTGGGGTTAAAAAAGGTTGACCCTGAAAACGCACACCTCACTTTATCCTACGGATATCCGTCTCCGGCGGTAAAATCTCAACAAGTACGAAGCTAACACAAAAATTACTCATAAAAAGGTCGCGTGTGACCGACCTCATGCAGTTGTCCCTTGGGCACTGCGGTCACGCTCTCAGATCATTAAGACCACCTCTAATCCAGTTTATTTTTCAGGTACCTCCAGAACAACCCTTCTACGGTGTGGGCAACCGGGAAGTGTTAACCGCACTCATACCTCTAACAGCACTCAAGACCACTGTATTCATCAGACTCTACGTTCAATATGAATAGTTACTGATTGTCGAACAAAATGGTATTAAATTTCATAATTAAAAAAATGCAAACTAGTTCTTTCAATATTTATGTAGAATAGAGAAAGTGCATGATGTGAACAGAGAAACAAAGAAGCCATGACAAACAAAAGGAGTTGTTTTTCGGGACGTTATTTCACTTAATTTAAAGCTTGTAAAATACCAACATTTATTTTTGTCCCTGGTTCATTCGGCAAACTATAAGCTATCGTTTGATGTATGATTCACTGCCATACCCTTTTCTGTTCAAAAGCTATTGTGTAATTTAAACGGTACTATCGGTGCCCTGTTTTTCTACACTAATGCCCAGTTTTCAGCACAATTGTATTTTAATCAAATAGGCGTTTTTGTGGATATTATAGTAATTTAATTGTTGAATTCATGAGTCAATCGAGGCTAGATCACCATAGAAAACCTGGATCGATGCGGGGTCGTGGATGCGCACTTCTGAGGAGTCCCATACTAGGACGAAACGGCCGTCCAGGTTTTCCGTGGTGGCCTAGCTCCAATTAACTCACGGATTGAACTATTAAAATAATTGTATTTCTCTAATTATTTTTACGTTGTGGTCATGTTGCTCATTTATTAATTAATATATATTTTTGCACCAATGTGAATCGGAATTGATAATAAATCGAGTAGTGTTCCAGTTGACTGGTGTTTTCTCTCTTGTCAGGTAACAGAGTGGTTTTCGTCTCTCTACCCAAGGCAGTCAACCTCACTTCAAGCAAAAGCATTCTAACCTCAAGGTTAAACCAGTTAGCCTATCGTTCAAGGACTTAATCTAGATCGACACAAGTTATCTTCTGTATATTGTCGGGTAGACAGATCAAGAACGTAAAAATGCGGTTAGCAATGGAATCCAGAAGTCGCGACTTCTAGACCATTAAGCCGGCATCCAGCAGTGTCAATGTCTAACCTCAATCAATCTAAAACATTGCGCGATTATCTTCGATAGTCTGACTCGAAGTTGGTACGGATTAACTCCACTGGCCACGGTTGAGGAGTTCCACACTAGGACGAAGTGGCCGGCCGGTGCTTCCAGGTTTCAAATGGTGGTCTTACTTAGATCGGCTCATGACTGTGATGAAATTCAACAGTTTCCACGACCCTATATTGAAAATGACATTAAAATGTTCGATGACTAAAAACAAATTTTATTAGTCTTCAATGTATGAAAGTCTTATAATTTAACAAAGTGTAACAAATCACTTTATGACGTAAATATAACTTTGATAAAATTGTTGTTATGGTCAACTTATCTCTAACACTAAAATGCCATAATTATATCAAGCATTATATTACTGTATATTTTGCAACACGATTTACAATATTACGATTTTCCTCATACAACTTTAGTGTATTTTGGGACGTAATTTAAAGATTTCTGTCGAATTTATCAGTGTAATGTTTTTGACAACTCCGCCTGGAGCCCCTCTGGGATACTGCCGGTCCAAGCCCGGATAAAAGAGGAGGGTTGGGCATAGGGTTAGCGACCCCATCCCTTAGAAAGCTAACTCGCTAAAAAACACTAACCGGAGAAAATTATTTATATCATCATCATCAATGTTTTTGACATGAAACAAAAAAGAAAACAAAAATTTATTATGAGAATAATTCAACTAACTTGACAAACAACTCTTAAAATTGTTCCTTCTTGAAAGAATGCTGGTTTTCTTGCGTCAGTTACAATGTAATCAAAATAACTTGTCCATTTACGAATTGTACCCTTAGAATAAAGAAAAAACAAAGTAGGAATATATGTATACATTCATTTATATCGACTATTCTAGTCGTACTGTTAAAGTTTTTTTTGTAAGAATACATCTACGTTAGTTTGTTATAATTACACTTTAACTAGTTTGACAAGTATCAAATGTTACGTAATTCATTCATCGATATAGAAATGTTATTTTCTCTGAGCTGAATAATTTAGTTGTGAAGCATATCTTTTCAAGACAATATGATCAGCACATACTTTAAAGAGAAGTAAGTTAGTATTAGTATTTTTCCCATAATTAACTAAAGGCTAGCTCTTTTTGACATGTTATTCGATTGGTTGTTAGTATATTAGTTTAGACTGCATTCTCTCCTGATTTGAATTCCTTTTTTTATGAAGGATATACTGAAGATGTTGTCTAGAAAGACAATGAGAGAGCTTTGCAACTTATATCATACAGCTCAGATAAGAAAACACCTTAAAATCCTTATTATGAAATATAAATATTATCCATCAATCCTAAAAGAGAACATTTGCAATATCATATGATAAGTCACTCAAAATGACAAGTATGTCAACATTAATATATCACCAGTCAGTTAATTTGTAAAGTACTAAGCAACAATTATACAATACGAATAGTGAATAAACAGTGACATTCGAAAGTGTAATTTGATTAGCTTCACAGACACACACACACACAACCAAAAAGAGAGAGTAGACTTTGAGAGAAAATACTGTGACAGGTAGAGACTGTTTTACAAAGTTTGTTAAAAATACAAAGCATTTTTTTAACGAAATGAAACATTATTTTCCAGTCACAAGTACCTTAATATACAATAAGTGATAATTCAAAAATACATACATAAACAGAATTCATTTCGTCTTTCATGAATATATACTACTCAGTAATATAATTGTAAAAATATGATACATGATTGAAAACTAAATAACATGCATTGAACTTGAATAAGAAAAAGGGATATAAATTAAACTCTATTAGATGACCCCCCCCCAAATAAAGTAATGATACATATCTTAATTCAAAGCAACAAGCTTTTTTCAAGTTGGAGTGGATAATTAGAAAGTGACTCGCCAGATCAGCATTGATTAACACATAATACTGAACAGCTAATTCTTCCTATAAAAAAGTGATTGGAATTGGGAAGGTGGACAAGTATAAATAGATTCTTTGATCTTAAAAGTAACTCACTCTATCATGCAACAAGGCCTGAGATTATTGCGGTCAGTTGTTCCTGACGGAAATGTGACTTGTTCCATATTAGAACAAAGCAGCTGTTCACTGTCTACAGTTTCAAAAGGTGGTTAGTTAATATCAGTCTTTTCAAAAAATGGAAGAACTTTCATAAACTTTAGATGTGCTAGGAATTTTTCACATATCTACTCTTATCCATACTATTCAACTGAAGTGAAACAGTATTACACTAAAACTAAACAAAAAAAACTGAATCTCAATTGCCAATAAATTATTTGCTTTAAAACGGTACGTATACCTTATGTAGCTCAAGAATGGTTCATCATGATCAAACATACCATCATCAGTAGAAACAAACAGTTCATGTAGATTTGTATATTATGAAGAAAGTTATCTTTATTAGGTTACGTACTAGACGCAGATTCAAATACTAGGAATCAAGTTACACTCTTATTGTAAGGGAACTAGATATACCACTCAATTTCCCTGAACCAATGTAAGTGGTGGTATCGGATTCGAACATGAAACTTAAAGGTTGAAAGTAGGATGCCTTAACCACATAGACACTGATCCATAATATATTACAAAACACATCAACAGTAGGTTGGAAGAAATGTGTTTTTTGTATATATGACTAAATATTGAAAAGAAAAGAAGACCATAACTATATATATATATCGCCTTGGTGAACAAATATTAAGAAATTGTAGTTCAAAATGAAACGGTGGGCGGCCTATTCTCCTCCACGAGGGGCAGCAGGCGTAAGTAGGTAGTAGTAGTAGTAGCAACTTTTGACCAAATAGAATAAAGACATTATGATCAAACATATCATAACCATAAAAATTATTACGTTTTATCTCTTCAAAGTTTATTTTTATCACTGAAATAATATAGAAGTATGAGCAAAATTATTATTGAATTTTACTGTTAATCGTTAATTTAAATAATATCATACCTAAAATTATAAGCAAAGATGGATGGTGGCCAGCAGTGGAATCAAGAACGCACGTTTCGTTCTGTTTACGACTCGTCAGATGGATTTACCGCCATTTCAGAGTTGATGTTCACTTTGGGAAGCAGGGATATCTAGCTGACGAGTCCAAAATAGGACGAAAAGCGCATCCTGTATTCCACAGCTAGCCACTACACATTTTTGTTCATAATGTTTGTGACTTAAGGTAATATCAAGACGATACGTACAGGATGTACATATGTTAATAAAAGACCGATCAACTGTAGTCCTAAATATCAATTGGAAGATTCAAACAAGCCAGTCAAAAATGAACTATACCCAATATTGTATTGAAAATAAAAAAATCAACTCTCAACTATAAAATAATTTTTATTTAATTCTAAACTTATTCTACATCACTTCTAAACTATTTGGATATGAGAAAAGGTGAACAGGAAATTAGCTAGGTTACATGACATATACCCATCAAAATAATAACATAAGTTATGACCATTTACTTAAGATGATTAAACATATATTTAATACAATGGAAATATTGTTAACACGTATAACAGTAACTAACAATTTGCATAGAATTACTTAACATATACAATTGCTTGTTCTACAAACTTCTAAGACTAATGGAACTATAAGGAAATGGAAAGTGATCAATTATTATTGTGATATAATCTCTATTCAGCTTTCATTCAATGCTAAGAGTTAGAAATTACACGATAGAAAATGTTTAATTATTTAAACATTAATGTACTTTAAATTAAAATTACTGAAAACGCAATAGTGATAATAACGAATCATATTGTATATAAATGAAGACTATTCTTTTCAAGGTACCCAAATGCCCTATCACAGCCGAGAGTGGAGAGAGTCAGCTCTCTCTCTCTCTATCGAAATGCTCTCACGTGGCCACATGCATACAACCACTGCCAGAGAAGTCTTACTCACTGCCTTCCCGTGGCAAGGGTGTTGTTTACGAAATTTAAAGGGCAAAAAGCGAATGTCCGGCGCTTTAAGTGTGTTGTGGATATACAGGATCCACCTAGAGGAGTTGAAAAACCCAGATTCCAAACCAATGGTGCACATGGGCTCCAGTATCCTGAAGGAACAATTGGCGTATGAACCAATCGTTGGTCACCGGTTACCACGAGATTGCATCTCTTTAACGTTGCTCCACCGCCTTGTGGATTAAATCTTTAGATCGAAGGTGCGGGCCGTGGCCCTCTAAGGAAACCACCATTTCACCGCAAAATCAATACAAATTCATGAAAAACTAAGTTTTCCCCCTCCTCGGTATTTTTTTAAAAGTACACACACGTGATTATATATTTCAATGTATGGGTTCTATAAAAAATCAACACTATTTCCTAATCAATCAATCACAGAATATGTTCTATATTTGTTGAAGGACAAATTTCCTACCTGAAAATAATTTACCATTAATCGTTATTTATTTAAAAAAAACAAATTGTGTTTCTAGTGACCTATTTTATACACAATAGTGTTAATTTAATAAAGAAAATTATATAGTTATGTTTTCCTCAAAACCCTAGTAACTACTAGTTAACATAGAAAACCTGCTAAAGCAGTCATAATGAACAATCATTATTATTAAGACATTACAGTTACTGACGCTAAACTATATATATAAAAGGGCACATGTCGGAAAAAAATAAAAGACCACTCGATTATAGCTGCTACCTTGACGGGGTGGTCGGCCTTGCCTATCGTGATGACCCAACTGTGCTATATTTGCTGGAACATATGTTCCTTCAAGTTCTACTATGCCAGGCAGGTCGATTGGAGAACGGTAAGACTAAAAGTAGGAACTCAAGGCCTGAGGGTGAAGTCGTACTGCTGAATGTAGAAGAATGTAACAGCAGTAAGGTGTTTCGCTCGGACAACCAGCATCTGCAGCAATGCTGCCTTCTCACAAGGGAGGAAGGGGTTAGAAAAGATTGACCCTAAAAATGTCACACCTCACCTTACCTCACGGATTTCCGTCTCCAGCGGTAAGGCCTTTTGAGAGGAAAAATTCTCACCACTAAAGGCCATTTATTTGAATAACGAAAAGGAGGAACTAAAAATGGTATTTATGTCATAATTGAAGCATGAAAACGGATAAATAATAAATCAAACTAGAAAAGTGGCAATTATTGTAAGAAAAGTTTTTACTGCTTTGAAGAAAATGAAGAAAACAAAAAGTGGAGTGAATACAGGGACCTTATAACTGGAATGGAATCACCTTTCGCTATACTGTTTATTCACAATCATAACATTAAAGTTTTCTTATTAAGAAATACTAGTTTCTATCTCATATATCCTACAGGACATCCGAATGCTATGGTACAGCTGAAGGTGAGAGTCTGCTCTTTTCGAAATGCCTTTATATAGTCATGTATACATAGCCACTGTCACAAAAGTCGTAGTCATTACCTTTTCGCAGCAGAGGTGTCATTTATGAAATCGAGAGGACGAACAGTGAATGTCCGGCACTTTGATCGGGTTGGTGAGTACGGCGGATTGAATTAGGGGAGTCAGAAAACTCTGATTTCAAACCGGAGAACGTGGGCTCCAGAATCCTGAGAAAACAAATGGGGTATGAACCCATTCTTAGCCATCGGCTACCATGAGACATCATCTAGAGTTGGTCAACTGACTTGAAGATTAAATTAGAATCAAAGAAAACCACTTGTTTTGGTTTGGGCATCCAAGTAGCATCCCAGCCCATTTAAAAATGTTATGATTCGTGTGGCGCATATATATTTTAATGCCTATTTGTACCAATGTTTATTCGAATAAATAAATCATACATATAATAATACACTCCGAAATGGTTATAATGTTGTAGCTAAGCCGCTTTCGTCATTTATCTAGTTTCTTCTTATATTGTTTCTTAAGGACAACTCGATTCTTATAAAATAGTTGATTAACATAGTATATGCCGTGATAACAGAGCTATGTAATAAAATACCATCAACTTGGATTACATATTTCTACTTTATCTCGTGTAACAATATGTTAAGGATTTCACCTTGAATTTCAAGTCCATTTTAACGATATAATCATTGAATTTATTATCTTTAGTGAATTAAATATAGAACTTTTAATTATCCTGTATAAATATGCCCTAGTAGAAGTGAATGTTTCTCAGAAAATTAAGTTGGAAATAAATATGAGGACAATTAAAACAATCTTCCAAATAATAGATTTACTTAAATGTCCCATCGTTCTATCATTTATATAGTTCTAATGTATTAAATTACAGATTGTTTATAGAATTTAGTTAAACATTGAAATGTTTTTTTTCTTTCCTTTGTTCTTCATTTCTTCATAGAACAATAATTAAAGTTTTGAACTATTCATTAGATCAATTTTGATCCTTATCTTTATCTTAACTTTGATCATTATTACTACTTTACTGTTTTTCTAATTTGTCCATTTGTATAACATATTCCTCTGCCTTAGATGATTGTTTTTCCTTTGTACTATTTGGATGTTTTGTTTCTTTTTTTCTTAACTGATCGTTAACCTCAACTTATCCTATCTACATATTGTTTATTGTTAATTATTTGTCCATTCAGTTGTTTGTTTGATTTTATATACAAATCATTTTAATATTTCATAATTATCTAATGTTACCATCTATATTTGATGATGTCGTTTTAAAAACAAAAACATTGTACAAGTAATACAAACAGTATTTCTTCTTTTACTTCATTATATAATTTAATGACTTCAACTCTTAATTGAAAGGTCATAGAAGTCATAAATCAACTGATCATTAAATGAATAAACTTGCTTGAAGATGTTCAACTCATTATTTTAATATTTTATGATGAGAACATCATTGTTAACTCAATATATCATTAAAATTCCGAGAAAAAAAAAAGAAACAAGAGATCAAATAGTTGTTTACAATGTTTCGTTTTGTTTGTGAGATCATTGAAATCTCATGACTTCAGTGCTTATTTATGCCAGTTACTTCTTTTGGGGGAGCATAGGCTTCCCACTAGCACTCACCTGTTCTGGGCAATCCTTTCCAGCTCTTTTCAGTTGTTATTTATCCTTTTCATATCTGATTCTATTTTCCGATATAATATGTTCTTTGGCCTTCCTCTTTTCCGCTTCCCTTCAAAATTTCAAATTAGGGCTTGCCTCCTGATGCAGTTTGATGATTTCCTTAATGTATGTCTTATCCATTCTAATTGTCTTTTCCTAATTTCTTCTTCAGATGGAAGCTGGTTTGTTCTTTCCCACAGAAGGCTGCTGCTGATGGTATGCGGCTAACGGATGTTGAGTATCTTGCGTAGACAACTATCTATAAATACTCGTAACTTCTTGATGACGGTTGTAGTAGTTCTCCAAGTTTCAGTTCCGTACAGTAGAACTGTCTTGACGCTCGTATTAAAGATTCTGACTTTGATATTGGTTGACAGTTGTTTTGAGTTCCATCTGTTCCTCAATCGTCGGAATGCGGCCCTTGCTTTGCCAATCCTCGCCTTTATGTCTGCAACTGATCTCCCTTGTTCATCGGTGATGCTTCCCAGGTACGTGAAGGATTCCAGAGCTTCGCCATCAAGTGTAATTGGGTTAATATTTTCCGTGTTGTATTTGAGGATCTTTCTTTTTCCTTTGTGTATGTCGAGGCCTATTGATGCTGTTGCTGCACTAGTTGTCTTCATCTGCATTTGTTCAGTGCAGAAAATGTTTATTTGAATACCAAATTGCTTTTGTTCTTCATAATATCGAATAAGAAGGCTTACTTTGGTAATTGTTGGAAAATTCAAGTTATATCACATGTTTTTCAGAAATAAAAGGCAAATTTTTGATTTGAGGTTAATAAAATAATTATAATGCTAATCTATTTTATAGACACCATCCACAAACCTTAGCATTATTATTTACATGTAAGAGGTATATGGAACTTATAAATACCTTATATAGCAGGTGGGGAAGATTCGTAGCTCAGATCAATGAATTTTGTAGAATATCGTCTTATAACCTGGATGGTTTATTTATGAAGCTTTGATCGTTCTTTTGAACAACATTATCATTAAATAGTTGAGGCAGAAGTGAATTGTTCGAACTTCCTCACATACGACTGACAGCTTGACCATCCGATGTTGAACGTAATTGGATATTATCTACTGCCCTTTGACCTCAATCAGGCAAAAATAAACAAATATACAAACAATACGTAACAATAATCTTTCAAGATCAAGATCTGTAGGACAAGCTGTCAGTCAGATGTGAATCAGTTCGAATAACTCATCTTTACCTGGAATTAGTGCTAATTATGTTACTTAGAACAATGAAAACTTCACATTTTAACCATCTAGCTCAGAGAAGAAAACGCCGCCAAAAACATTACTTAAACATCATATAATACATTTATATCTGACCATATTGACAACATAAATTACAGCGACCGGTGAATTTAAATTTTAAGTATATGGACGTATTCGTACTAGATATACTTTGATTTTAGAGAATATTTAACAGAAATGAACGTTACAACCATCCACAGAAATGGTAACGCTGACGCGGAACAAGGACACTCGGACAGTTATAGGATTTACTCCTAATACTTCCCAATCGGATGATTAAAATATAATAATAATAATAATAATAATAATAATAAACACGTTACAACATTCCAATGGAATCAAACTTGCCACCACTTTGATGTCACTTTACAGACTTCGCTGACAATGATTCACGTAGGTGATTTTCAAATCATTCCATCTATTTCAGATTTAAGTACTTGGATGACATCGTCATACATTAAGTTAGGATCAAAAGCGAATGATAAACTGTATGACAATAAAATATCATGTGGCAATTTATATTACATGGGAAATGCAAAAGTTGGAGTTAGATTATTTAACCGTTAGTACGAAATATGTGTTAAACAGAAAAATCAGTTGATTAACTGAGTAGTAAACGCAATTGTTGTATATGGTAACTGATGAACTACAACTTGAGCGTAAAGATCTCTGAAACAACTTTTTGCAAAACACGTCTATTTTAAACATTTACTTCTTATTCTAGTGTTATTAATATTGTTATTATTATTTGTAGGTTGTGTTTGTCATAGATCAAACTCAAACCACAATCAGGGAGGAAAAAACAGGTGTCACCTTCTAGCATTAGACTCCTTCGCACCATACAACCACGATCCTACCGGAGATAGAATCTAGAACCTTCAGGTCATGAACTGAATGCTTAACCAACACAGAACCACGGAAATTTCAATGATACTTCAACTGATATCAATCTGTGAAAAAAACACAACCTTAGAAAGAGCCATTTCCACAAAACCTGTCCGACTAAACTATAGTCATTCTTAAAAAAACACTCAATGAAAATCATTAAAACTTACATCAGGTCTTGGACCTCCCAAAATGAAGCTCATAATTGCCTAAAATGAAAAGGTGTGTGAAATAAGTTTTCACAAGGTTTTTTATAGGGAAATTAACATATTATTTTATAATTCCTATGAGAACGTCAAAAATTAAATCTCTTCTTAACAAATTTTATTTCTAGAATATTGTAAACAATGATAGAGTTATGTAAAACGATACAAAAGCAATCTAATGATGATCCGAAATCGAAACTAAATTCATTAATTAGACACAAATACACATAGAGCAATTTCAAATTATGAACAATAATGTAAGAGTCCTGGTTAATTGATGTAATTCAATAACCAAATACAGATTTACATGCTTGGCTTAGAACCACACATGTCCCAGTTCCTACACATCAGCATATAACTGACGATACCTTCAATTATCTTGATTTCTTTAAAAAACATTCAGACATTTGCATCAAAGGTACATTTCACATTCAGAAAATGAAAAAAACGCATCTTAAATATTCTCACAATCCCTTTCTCAGTCCAGACGTTTAGAACGATGGGCGAAACACTTTAAGGGCAGTTCAGCTAACCTTCAGCTACTTTACAACTACCTACCATTCCCAAACAGCTGCATCGACCGTATATTCACTATTCGTCAGATCTTAGAACACAGACATGATCAACGATAGTTTTTCTTGACCTAAAAGTAGCATTTGACTCTGTAGACGGAGAGGTTCTGTGGACGTGTCTGTCATTGAAAGGCGTACCTCAGAAGTATATAAACCTTGTGCAGGCTCGTTACTCGAACACTACTAGTCGAGTCAGAGCTTATGGCAAACTTTCATTTGGTTTTGCAACTTCAAGTGGTGTCGAGCAAGGTTGTCTATTATCTTGATTTCTGTTTAATTTCATTATAGACCTACACCTGAAAATAATGTTTTCGTTGACTGAATTTTTTGGCATTGGTCTCCTACTAAGAAGTTCACTTATCGACTGGCTTTTGCCAACTTATGTCACCTATGACGAAGTCAATATATCCGTCTATCAATAAAAGAATGAGTATACTGTGTGGCAGTTGGTCCTGTTCCAGCTGCGAAACGTGGCCATTAAGAGTAGAAGATATTCGTAAGCTACCAGTATTTGATCACAGATGTCTCAGAAATATAGCTCGCATTTTCTGGGTTCACCGGGTAAATTTAGATGCAGGGTATTAGAGAATGATGGTAAATCAGTTGATGAGGTTGTAAGTCTTCACCAACTGAGATGTTTAGGCCATGTGTTATGTATGCCTGAACACCAATTACTACGACGCGCAATGTTGACTAGTGTTATGATGGTTGGAAGAAAGTTGGGGGCAGCCAAACCAAAACGTGACATCAGTCCACAAAATTACTAACTTCTAGTTTTAGCCATGTTGGTAGATACAGACTACTTGATTGGAGTCTGCGTGACTATCGTAACTAATGGTTCGAGACTTTGGATGAGGTGACTCAAAATCGATCACAGTGGCGTAGGTGTATACACTCTTTGTCTGCCCTTAAACCGCGAGATTAGAATTGCTTTATACCTTCCTTTCTACGAACTAATTCATTTTTCCTGTATTATATTCTCATATGCAATCTTTCTTTTATATATTACTACCATTGAAGTAACAGCTTCTGTGGATTCGGTCTTCATTCTGTTGTGCTAATAAGGTGTAGCAACTCGGAGTGATGCATATATGTGCTTAGTCCTACATTGTAGCTGACTGGCTGATTGCTTTCACTGAAAAGAACCACACTGTCTATGTATTCTATGTTGATTAAAGTCTCTTTGCGTAGAAAAATAACGGCTGGTCTATATTGGGGTGTAAAAAATTAATCTGTAAAGATTTTATAGAATTGTTTCTTTAATGATTGAAATTAAACGCACATCAAATGGAAATTCACACGGAAATTTAAAGTTTCCGACCATTTTAGTTGAAAATCAAAAAGGGAAACAACAATTCGAATTAAATCACTGTTCTTTAATTAAACAAGAACAAATGTGTATCACACATACCTTATCGACTATATTTTAAGATCAGTCAGTCAGCTACAACCGCTGCCATACCTCTAACAGCACTCAAGACCACTGTATTCATATTTTAAGATGCACCAAGACAAGTCACATCACTCGAAAATATTGGAAAATTAACGATAAAAATACATGATGTAGAACTGACCGATAGCTTTCAACTACATCAGAATACTATTATTATTTGATTAAAATAATTAATACTTGATTTTTCATGGTAAAAAAAAAGAGGAAAACAACTTACATGAGAGTATTCAAAGTCACTGTTCGTTAACAAAAACACTTTTGCACCATTCACTCGTAGCCTATAATACGAAAAAAATAACAGAATGAAATATTTTACCGTCTAAAAAAGTCCGATCCTTCTCAATAATAAATTAGGCATACGATTAAGATAGAATGAAATAAATTTACCGATCTAACAAAGTACATAAACGTGGATCTCTTTCGACATATTCACTAATATTTGCCAAAGTACGTTGTTTTAGTTCTCCCTGCAACAAAATTAACAAAAACGTTAAAGAGTGTATGTGTCAATAAATTACAGTAAATTGTGAATCTCAGTTTCATTCCACAATGAATTGGAACCACAATGCTATTATCGAGAAACACTTATATAATGATGAACCATTAAATATAAGTTGAGTGTAATGCTTTTCAATGATAGTGTAATATGACAAGAAACTCAGTTAAAGAATGAAGTCAAAATGGTCGAATTTCACATCGAGATATATCATCATTATTTTAAACCTAATAGGAAGACCTTAGCAATATTTTTGTCGAACTACACCAGCAATCTCATTCTAGTCAACCGAAATATTTGTGCGCTAAGCTAATTATTTCCAACTAGGTGTGGCGTTAAAGTGTTCTTTGGAATTGTCACTAAACGTGTTAACTTGAGCTCTTGTTCCAGTAATAACTTGAGTTTGACAGAATCTATATTTCACCAATCTTATCGCCATTTGATACATTCATGGACTAAGTTAATTAATCATAACTTAGAATTCATTAAGATGAATGAATATGACCAAGCTGTCTTCTTCCCTATCCACTAATTAGTGTAGGAAGTTTAAGTTTAAACAGAAGCTCTTTGATAGATAGTTCAGACCGGTTTAACTACATTCATTTACTATTTGGGAAGCAAACAATGTAGACCTGATGAGAATTGTATCAACGCAAATCAACACACTATGAGAGAATGTCGAAAAATTAATACGACAGAAACCCCATACGCGTAGTTAAAAACAACACCAACACATGAATAAAAGCTTCAGGAAGAGGAACAAAAACAGAAAAGAACGTACTAAAGATCTAAATCCAAAGGAAGAAAAATAATGAACACACCCACACCAACAAATGGTTTTGAACTATTTTAAAAAGGCTCCCAACCTTTATTTACGATTACTTTACGTCTCATAGCCGACACAATTCAATGAAGTAATTAATAAACACATGTACTAATGGAATATATTAGTCTACCGAAAAACAAGGAAAACATTTTTTGGGCCAAAATTTCGCTATCGATCAACAGAATGGAGATTATGGGACTTTAGAACAAAAGTGGGGATCCAATAAGGAAAATAAATACATGACGTTTACTTTTGCTTCGAATTGCTTGTTCTCATTTGAACATCTTTCAACGTACTTTTTCCTACTGATTTTACAATTACTGACCAAAGGTGGACTAATAGTATCAGGATCGTTGAGATTCCTCAACGACATTGAAACAGAAACGTTAAAAAGTTAACACACAATAGAGAAGTACGCTTAATTCAGGGAATTCATGGATTCATGTGCACTACTTATTTACCTAACATCGTAAGTCAAATTATCCGTACACCATGCATCAAATATTTATCCTAGACAATCATCAAGATCGAAAAATTAAATTATCGAGTCAGTCACCTACTCAGTATAAATGTACACCAACCTAATTTGCCACATATCAACACATTGAGATGGAATTATTAAGACTAACATCAGAGGACTATTAGCAATATTAGTAACGATAAATAACAATAACACGTGCGATTCGACAACTCACAATAATAAATATGCAATATTTTTGGGATAGCATAGACAAAAAGAATGCAGTTATAGGACTTAAACCGACCAAGTTTCATCCAAGTAATTTCTAACCTGTAAGTATATTTCAAAATTACTTCATATTTTCAGATAAACGGACAGAACTCCTCTAAATTACCCTGGATGACTTTTGATTTGTTGAAATGAAACGGAAGAGAATAATGATTCTTAACGGAAGTCTTGTAAAACTATGACGTTTAAGTACGCCCTATTGGGAAGCTAACCTTGGGTACTTAACACCTTCCAATTTTAACTTCACACACCCACTGTATTCATAATCAAAGTCAATGTGAAAGGTAGTCACCAAATTATATATTCCCTAAGCATTAACCATATATACAGTCTACCACGTATGACGATGAAATTATAATGAAACCAAAAACTACATATTACTACTCGATGTGTATGCACACTTCCAAATATCTGTCCAGCACAAGATGAAATCTGTCTATGGTTGGTCGTATGATAGTCTACAACTAACTAGCAAGAGGCCAGAAAAAATTGACTCAGAAATAGATTCATTGAATGCCATAGACAAATGAAAAATGCAAACAAGATATCTTCAATTAAACAACATCATTAAAATCATATGAAAAACAAGTAATTGAAAGAAATACTTGAAAAATTTATACTTCTACCTACTCTATGCATCCAATCACAAGCGGTTCTTACATCTTCATAAATTGAAGCGTATGACATATACAGAGATCCTTTTTTGACACCATGCTCAACTTTTATATAATCAGGATCGTTGACGAACATATGGATTATACATGAGAGTATGTAGGTTTCTAAAAAGGTAAATTGGTTAAAGAATTTTCCTACCTGGAAGACTGAACAAAGTGTTCATTATTTCAATTCGTTTTTCGTCGTACTTCACAAATTTATTTGGATACATTGATCGAAGTTCTTCCCTATATGCTATAAAGACATTTAAATTGGCTACTTACCTTTGGATAAAATTAAATCCACGTAAACATGAAAGAATATTGCCAAACTGATCCATTTTTAACAGAGTACCATAAAGCCGATCAAACCATAGGCCTCTAAAATACAAGACAATACAAAAGGTTTTAACAGTTGAAAAGAAAGGTAATTATCATCCAACTACGAGTACACTTACAGTTTAATGAATGAAACAAAGTTGCGGACGTCGATGAAATATACCTTATTGCATTTTTGAATGTTAAATGGGACTCAGAAAAATAAATACTAATTCGAACAATCAAACTAAAAAGTTAACTAGCTATAAAAATGTAGAAATCTGTGCAATCGTTATACACTATACCTGAAATCGAATTTTGTCTCCACACAAAATGGACCATTAGGAGATCAATATAAGACATTTTTTTCCTTTGATTTATTGTAGTTACAGACGTTCACCTAGCCGAGTATGCAATACAAGATAAGTCACATGACTTTGCAGTACGTGAATAGGAAATTTGACATTAACAAAAGGGAAACATCACAAACACTATACTTAATACTCGATTAAACTAACCTCAGCGGAAACGAGGGATCATAAACAAAATCAGAAGTTTTCGGAGGATAGCCAAGTTTTATCAGCCGGTTTTTTATAATATTAAATGCAAGCTCTTCATATTGTGGTGATTTATACTCTATAAGTTTGAAGTGTGTTGTTTCTGAAAAGAAAATTAATGAGACTTACGTGCTAGAGTGTAGTCCATATCGAATCCGAAAAACTTTATTTTGTCTAGCTGCAAGCTCCGGTTGACAAATATTCTGAAGAATAGTACTTTATTTCTTTAAAATACTGGTTACCTGTGCTTTGTCTCACGTTTATGGACACGAATACTTGGTGCAGATTCATATTCAGTCAACTCAGGAGTATCCATTTTATTGTAGAAAAATAAATTCAAAGTGATAATTTGACAAGGGAATCTCTCACAGTCAATAGAGGGAAATGGAAATGTAGAGTATTTTCGAAAGGTGTTGAGTAAGATAATGTGGAGTCGTGGAAGGATTAAACAAAATAAAATGCAATAATGAACGTATGTCAGTATGCTCTTAAATCAATCATAAATGAATATTTACATTATTTAAATGTTTTTCACGGTATTACTGACACCCGGAAATGTACTTTTCAGCGATACTTTCTTTCGTAACGAGCTGTTGAGCCGTTAATGTTCAAATGGTTCAAATGGTTGTGGACGGAATGGAAGAAGCTTTCGCTTAACAGGCTTTCGTGTCTAGTAGCATGGGATCACGATTAACTCCAGGTAGGAACCTAGCTATATTAACGATAAAAGAGGAAAAAGAAATTGGTAAATCATAGTATGATACTATCCTTAGACCTTAAGAATAGGTCAAGTTGCCTCTTGAAGGATTCCTGAGAAGTCGCTTGGACTAGCTCGGCCGGCAGAGAATTCCAGCAGTCGATAACTCATAAGGAGTAGAAGTTGCACCTACAGTCCGTTTCGATATGTTGTGTCCCCAATTTCTAGGTTTGTATTGGCACTAAACTTAAGTAGGTGTTTACGGAGATGTTCAGAAGTGTTAAGGATACTGTAAGCCATTAGAAGGTCACCTCTAAGACGCCCATACTCTAAAAGTTGGAGATTAAGTGATTGGAGGTGCCCTTCATAGGGCTTGAATTTGATTCCCTAAACTGATTTCGTGGCTCGCCGTTGGATACGCTCCAGCGTGTCCTTATCCTTTTGGAGCTAGGGGTAAATACTATGTTCCCGTACTCTGAATGAGGACGGATAAAAATGTTGAAGATTGTATGGAAGGTTCTTCCATCAGACTGGCCAAGAATGCGCTTCAGTGTTACCAGTGCAAGGTTTGCTCGAAAGGCATTTTTGTCACAGTTAGCGTAAGACTTTAAATCGTATGGCACCAGGACTCCTAAATCTTTTTCGACCAGGGATACTACTAGAGAGTTTTCCAAGTTGTAACTATAGTCTGCGACATGTCGCACATGGGCTACTTTACACTTTGGAGTGTCAAAGGTAAGTCCGTTATCGTCTATCCAAATTTGAAGTCGAGTCAGATCCTCCTGAAGTGCCTGTATATCGTCTTGGTTGCGTACCTCTCTCCAAAGTTTTACGTCATCAGCAAAAAGCAATAAGTCTGACGTTACCTGTTGAGGAAGATCGTTTATGTAAGTCAAGAAAAGAAGAGGTCCCAGTACTGAACCCTGGGGGACCCCACTAGGAAATTCCATAGACTGAGATAAAGTGAAGCTAACCCTGACCATTAGACGCAGACTTTTTAGATATGAAGTCAGCCAATCAATTAGAGGTCAATTGAAACCTAATAGTTTGAGCTTATTGATGAGACATATATGGTTGACCCTATCGAAAGCTTTTCAGAAGTCAAAGTAAATGACGTCAAACTTCCCCTTGCGATCCATCTGTCTACCGCAGTCAGCGGGTTGGTTATACAAGAATGACCCTTCCTGAAACCATGCTGCTGGGATGAAACGAAGTTTAAGGATAATAAATATTCGTGTAAAGCGTCGCATATCAGGGACTCCACAAATTTCAGACGGCCTGCGAGTGTGAGAACATCACACCAAGCGGTGTTGACAGGATTGAAGCCTATTTTCTCAGTATAGAAGAATGAACCATATCCGGGCCAAGAGGTGTTTTCTTCTTGGTTGCTGCAGTTTCCGGAACACCAAGTGAGCGCTCAGGTTCACTCCTGAAATTCCTGTGCAGTTGCAGATGAAGCTTCCATCAATATAGTTACTACGGGTCGGTCGAAATGTCCGATAGTATTGTTCAACCAAATGGTTAGCGATGTTATCTTCGGTATGACAAAATAGGGCTATATTGGTATCAGGATCCATCATTTATGTAGACATGAAGCAAAAAAGGGAAAAAACGATCGTAACCGAAAATTTCGTCAGAAAAAAGTTATAAAAAATGAACATAATATGTCCAGGTCAACTTTTTGAAAGGGTGGAGAATTATCTAATGTGGTGAGATATCGCAATGATAGTTAACAGGGTACCTTCAGCTGGTCTGACTTTATGCTATTATCATAGAGTTAAGCTTCTAAGGTAAAAATGACAGTGGACAATAGTTTACCACCATAATATGCTGCCATAAATTCTTTCTCGATAGACTCATACTAAATTGCTCATAGTCTAGATAAGTACAGTTTGCTTCTGAATATAAGTGTTATCATGGCTTCTATCTGTCAATTCGGCATTACCTCCAGTGATTTTGATGTATATTCAAGCAATCTCAATTCAGTGTGGATTTGAAAATCAAACAGTTCAGACTTTCAAACATATATACATGTATAACTCCATTGAATGATTGCTTGGTCCTGTTTTTTATCCGATCCTAAAAACCGCAAACTGAATCTACACGACTACTTTAAAACTAGAGAAAAAGTGCGTAGTGCGAAAGACTCCTTAGACTAGGGTTAGACATATACTGAACGTTGTACGTATTTATCTGTGAAGATCAGCTTGCCTAATGTTTTTCCACTCGTTTCTCTTTATATGGCTAATTTGTGTCCTAATCTCAACACACACTTCGTTCAAAATTTGTCTCCGTCTGCTTCAATAGTTCCTAGTTCCTACCGACTTTACATTAAACGATTTGACGATTGCACTAGGACATCAATCTGTGAAGACGTGGTAGTTAACCACTCTGATGCCGTAATTTGGAGCATCTTATGCATCTACAGTAAAGAAAGGAGAATTTTATATGTCAAACAAAAGGTATAAGGTGGCATTTTGTCGATTTTTTATGAATTCCGCTTGACAATCTATAGACCAACTCCATTTCACATTTTTACCAGATGATTCAATGGTGAACGTTGTCAATGTAAGTCAAGTAGGAAGGGGTCATCATGGCTAACCAGTTTACGGAAACATCACGAGTTGAAGATATCCATCATTTTAGGCTTAGCTTTCAGTGCAACAGTATTCTAGGGGATCGGTAGCCCGCAATCTTTATCTACTATAACACGAGTTAGCATACCAGCTTCATTCAAACGTTAAATCCATCTACACAGTATCAGAGTCCTTATTCAGCTAATGCTGAAAGAACCATGTTAAGCCTGTTTACTGAATACATATTAACTACTCCCGTGACTGGAATGTCGTTGTAATAAGCCGGAGCACCTGGAACCTCTTGTTGCATGGTGTTCATAATGCGCCACAATATGGACGGTGCAGTTATTATTCTGTAATACAGTCGGTTTTATCCAAAGTCGTGTGTATTAATCGCAAGTTAATTGTAAATAAGCTACTGATACTTTCAAATTTGCAAAACAGCCCACCGCAACCCAGCTTAGTAAAGAGATCTTCGGGCAAGAATGAAGGATACTGGTGGGTTTCCAGGGCTCCCCTGAGATCAGTTGAGAAATCAACGAACAAAGAGGCACTGTCTTAGGATTTCATAAACATCATTATCGGTGCAGCGTATTCCGCGAAATTTAAAAACTCGATAACACCAATTTACTGGAACATTTCTAGCTCTTGTTCAGTCACTAGAAGGAATATATGTGGCACAGGTCTTTTCACATTAACTAGCAGCTCCGCTCCAGGTTGAAGGACAGGAGTAACTATGATAATTAGAAGTGTTCGGATTAAAAGTCTAATATTTTAACGGAGTATATTCTTTTCGATAAATTCGCTTCCGGCCCTATAATTATACATCCAACCTAATAACCCAAATGGCCAGGTTAAGGGCAAATTATTGTACCGACTGTGAATTCTTAAAATAGTGCAATCTACAGAAAGTATAAACAAATGAGCACCAATAAACACAATACGCTTGGAATTCGTAATAAGCGGATCGACAAGTACAGAAGAATCATTAGGTCAAACAAATACCACATCAGCCACAGCATGAAATTGAGATCGGAATTACTGTAATCAACCGGACTTCTTAGGTTCATCGTGTGTCTGTCTGACTGTGTTGAATATACATTCTGCATGACCCAGAATATACTCATTAGTATTAGAGTACACAGTCGAAACCTTAACATACTCACCCGGCACCTGTAGTTGTTTTCCATCGGCATACCTGTTGTGTTTACTGAAATCTAGAATTCGAATCATAGATTTTTCAACACTATCCTATCAAGACTGCACCATAATTTTGTTCATATCTTGGTTCATTTCACCTATTTTCATCAGATATGAAAGAAATCTTATCAGAAATACGTAAATCGTTAGGACAAACGACATTGGGTACAATAGCACGAGAAATACGATAAAAAGTTGCTTGACTAGAAGCTTTTGTCCCACAATGACTCTGACCTTCATTTGATGCACTTAGATTCATTGTGTTGCTCCAATTGTTTTTTGAATACGAGTCTCTCCGGCCTACTCGACATATACCACGTGAATTATACGTTTCTTTTGGCTGAAGTACAGTTTCAGAGTTATACAAGGCTAACAGGGCTTTATTTAATTAGAAACTGCTAGTTAACTCCATACCGCTTTTCAAAATCGTGGAGTGAAGTTTGTCAGAGGAAAAAAGTACACTAAACTTGTACTCATCTTCGTGACCTGGAACGCAACTCAATCAATCGTTATTTGCATGGCCCGGAGTTTGTATTGGAATGGGGTAAATAAGTGATGTAGTAGAATTCTTGATTTCCCTACGAATTATTCTATAGAAGTTTTCTCTTTCACGATAATCGGAACTAGTACACTTTACGGGATTTAATAGTAATTATTTAGGAATTCCAAAAGGAAGTGAGATAGGGTCATTTAGGAATGTCAAAGTTCTCAATAAACTGTAGGCTTCTTTTCCAATGAATGTAAGGAATGAGCCACAATCTCAACATTTTTCCTGATCACAGGCCCATATAATCCTCGAAAGCATCAAAATTTGTATGTATATCCAACTGTTCCATCACAGGCTCCATCGTGACGACAATGTGATAATGAGAATTATCTGAATTTTCACATGAACTAGGAACCTCAGAAGTAGCGTAATTTAACCAATAAGGATTATGTGATCACAGACGGACGTATTGTATTTGGAATCATTAGTTCATATAAACACCACGCAAGGGTATATGTCTTAACAACATATAAAGTAGTCTTGAAGTTGCCTTGTCTGTAGAGTGGTTGACAAGAGCCAATAAATCTATTCTACCGAATTCCACTGATAAACATAGAAATGTCTTCATACAGCCACATGACCCAAACAAGAAGGAAATTATAAACACAGTTC